GCAACTCAGTGCATCTGGTATGAGGTCCAAGGATCTGCATCTCTAATGAGCTCTCAGGGGATGTCGGTGTAGTGTTCCAGGAACCACACTCTGAGTGGCAAGGCCCTGGATGACAGAATGGGCTGGCAAAAGGATTAACTGATAGGAGATCTTCATATTACAAATCTGTAAGGCTGAATCATTCCTCTTTTAAAAAAAGATAATGATGAATAGATGTGTATTGCTCTTTTACATTCAGAAATTATGTGAGATATACCCTACTTACTTAACTTACATGCAGAGTTAAGAGCTGACTCATTGGAAAAGATCCTGATACTGGGAAAGATTGAGGGCAGGAGGAGAAGGGGACGACAGAGGATGAGATGGTTGGATGGCATCACGGACTCAATGGACATGGGTTTGGGTGGACTCCGGGAGTTGGTGATGGACAGGGAGGCCTTGTGTGCTGTGGTTCATGGGGTTGCAAAGAGTCAGACATGACTGGGCGACTGAACTGAACTGAACTGAGCTGAACTGAATGAGGACGGAGTAAATGAATCTACTGTAAAAGGTCACTGTGTCCACCAGCTCTTGTCACTCTGTACTCCCCATGGATCTGCCCTCGGATTGGCTGATGTGATCACCATGTGAATGGTTTGACACTGCTTGGTCAGCTGTGAGAGGTCACATGCCAGTGATGGAATAATCTCTCATGCTGGTTTATTCTAGACTTCTGCTGGCCCTGACAATTGCATGTTGGAGTATCTTCATAAGTGTTATTACAGTACGTCTGACTCAACTAGAGCATTTGGGTTGAGATTTTAAGTATTTCATACTTATAACCACCTTGCAAAGGGATTTAGCAATATCCAAAAAGTATTTGAACTAGCAGTCCCATTTCTAGTGAGGTTACCCTTTTATGGGAGATAGAATAATGGTGCCCCAAAGATATCCATGACCTAATCTCTACAACCTGTGAATATTTTACCTACATAGCAGAGAGACTTCAAAGATCTTAAAGATCTTCAGATAGGGAGATTATCCTGGATTAAATAGGTGGATTTAATATAATCCAGGGATCCTTAAAGAGAGATCAGAACAAAGGAATGTTCTCCACCTACCACAGCTGGCTGTCAAGAAGAGGCAGGGAGATAGGAACCAAGCAATGTAGGTGGTCTCTAGAAGCTAGAGAAGGAAGGGCATTCCCTTGGAGCCTCCGGAAGGAATATAGCCCTCTGACACCTTGGTTTCAGCCCAGTGTTACCTTTTTCAGACTTCCACCCTCCAGAACTATATGATAATAAATTTACATTGCTGCAAGCCATTACGTTTGCTATAATGTGTTACAGCAGTAATAGAAGACTACTATACCTTCCACATATATGAAATAACATATGCATAAGGCCGTCACTGTGGTTTTATCTGTAACAGCTAAAAATTGGAAACAACTCAAATATCCATCATTAGAGACTAGTTCAAAAATATAGTGGGATGCTTTGCACCTGTGAAAAAGAGTGAGGAAGCTCTCTATATCTAATATGAGCTGACCTTTAGGATATATTTTCAAGTAGGAAAAAAAGATTGAGAACACTATGTATTTTAGCTTTCAAGTAGGAGAGCAGGAAAAATAAGACACGTGCGTTCTTTTTCCAAAAAAACCCCCCAAAAACAAAAAGCACTACAAGGGTAGCCCAGAAATAAGTTAATGAAATAATTAACTATGGGATGTTAAGAACACTACGTATTTTACCTTTCAAGTAGGAGAGAAAGAAAAATAAGAAACATATGTTCTTTAAAAAAAAAAAAAATACTGCAAGGGTAGCCCAGAAATAAATTAATGAAATAATTAACTATGGCATGTGGGATGAAGCAGCTAGGAAGGAAGCAAGACATCTCTGAGAATATATCTTTTAATGTATNAGCTAGGAAGGAAGCAAGACATCTCTGAGAATATATCTTTTAATGTATTTGTATCACTTTGACTTTTGTACCAGGTAAATGTTTTATATATTCAAAATATAAAATTATATCTTAAATAATATTAAGATATTAATAATTAATTTTAATAATTTTCTACCTATGATTTACATTCTAAAATCTTTCCTAGACTTATTCTGCTGCTAATGGAATTCTATCCCAAATCAAAATAAATACTCAGGATCCAGAAACTGTTTCCTGACAGAACGGTAAAAATCATAGACTGCTGGTGGGTTAAGATTGACCATTTCTGCTGACTTTGCTGTTTCTTAAATCATATTTTTACATTACAGACCTCACTGACAGGCTATAGGACCTGGTACACCACTTACCAAAAAATAGAGAAAATCAATTTCATAGAGCTAGCAATAGCGCCATCTGGTGGCAAAATTTAAAGCTATAACAATTTATAAAATTGAAGTAAAGGTTCTTTTGGAAGTGCTGTGTTCTTTAATGTTGAAGTTATATATGGCAGAAAAAAGCAACCAGAAATGGCTGATACTAAGATCTTTTTTTCTTATGAATACAAGATTTACTTGTCTTCCTTCTTTCAAGCCCTGAGCCAGCCATTTTCCCCAGGTTGCCTGGAGAAGTACAGAAGGAGACATGAGAGAAAGAACTGTGGGAGGTGGAAATGGCTCCTTCACAAGGCGAAGAGGATGACAAAGGCCACCATCAGGCAGAAAGAGCCCCATGGCCTCAGAGAGGGCAAAGCCCAGAATGGTGTAGAAAGCTGCTGCTCTAGAAAAGGGTTCCTCCCATAACCAACGATGAGGCTCCCAAAGGAAGGCAGAGAGTGTGAGTCGCTCAGTCGTGTCCGACTCTTTGCAACCCCATGGACTGCAGCCCACCAGGCTCCTCTGTCCATGGAATTCTCCAGGCAAGAATACTGGAGTGGGTTCCTATTCCCTTCTCCAGGGGATCATCCTGACCTGGGATCGAACCCGGGCCTCTGGCATTGCAGGCAGATTCTTTACCATCTGAGCCCCCAGGGAAGCCCACGACTCCCAAACACAGTCCTAATTCCAGTCCTGGAGCCAGCCACCCCTGCTGTGGCAGACCCAGCCCCACTGTGTCAATGTCCCTTGAAAGGGCACTGGTCTGGAAGCTGTGGCTAGGAGTAAGTGCAGTGGTCAGGGAACACGGGGCTGCCGGGCTACTGAGGCCTTCAGCTGTCAGCGTCTTCCTGGAGCCAGCCACCCCTGCTGTGGCAGACCCAGCCCCACTGTGTCAGTGTCCCTTGAAAGGGCACTGGTCTGGAAGCTGTGGCTAGGAGTAAGTGCAGTGGTCAGGGAACACGGGGCTGCCGGGCTACTGAGGCCTTCAGCTGTCAGCGTCGCCGGCCTTTTTAGCACCACTGCAGACAGTGACCGGCTCAATAGTGGAGAGGTCCTCCTGATCCGGGAGGGCGTGCCTGCGTGCTAAGTCGCTTCAGACGTGTCCGACTCTTTGCAAGCTTATGGACTGTAGCCACCGGGCTCCTCTGTCCACATCCACAGGATTCTCCAGGTAAGAACACTGGAGCGGGTTGCCATTTCCTCCTCCAGGGGATCTTCCCGACCCAGGGATCGAACCCCCGTCTCCTGGGTCTCCTGCACCAGCAGGTGGGTTCTTTACCACTAGCACCACTTGGGAATCTGATCAAGGAGGGAGAGTGGAGACAAACTTGGCACAAGTGTACATTTTCAGGGGATGAAGGGCTGTTTCAGGAGAGCTGCTCCCAGTGCAAAGGAGACGGGCCGGGTGGGGGGGTGGGCTGGTAGTCAGATCCTATCCATTCCTGTGTAAAACTGAAGTTACTCTTAATTTGATATGTTACATTTAAAAATGCATTTAGCTTGCCCAAAATTCTTAGTGAAATTCAAGCAACAAGAAGTAATGTTGAAAAAAATTATCCTAGTGTCTATTATGGACATGCCTAATCTATTTTCATAATTCTAAAATCTATGTTATAAAAATGCAGCCAGGATGAGTTACACAAATCTTTCTGGTTATCTGGTTTCCTAAAAGTGAGAGAAACCACTACCATCTCCCAGGAGCATCTAAAATGTTGAATAAAATACACCTTATTTGTTTTTCATCCTTCCTTTCCCAGTACTGGCCAATGAATGAAATTATTTCCTTCCTTAAGTCTTACCAAAAGTAGATTTTCTTTCTTTTTAGATGATTACATAAGACCTGGGTTTGATTCCTGGGTTGGAAAGATCCCCTGGAGAAGGAAATGGCAACCCACTCCAGTATTCTTGCCTGGAGAATCCCATGGACAGTGGAGCTTGACAGGTTACAGTCCACGGGATCACAATAGTTGGACACGACTTAGCGACTAAACCGCCATCACTACCACATATTAAATGAAACTATAGAAGTGAGGCAATTAAACAATTTGGAGTAAAAATATCTTTGTTTTAAAAATCTTGAAATAATTATCATAAAAACGCTATTTGGATGATTATTTCCATTGTGCCGATGCCTAAGTTGCTATGAGACAAATTAATTTGTTCAAAAGAAATGTGTTGAGCACCTGCTATGTGCCCTGCATGACCCTGATTCAGGTATTGGAAGGGCTAATGGAGGTGCCTAAGAGACAGGGAAGCTTCTTTGAAGTTCACTAGAGAACTGGTCTGACTCTCTGCAACCCTATAGGCTGTAGCCTACCAGGCTTCTCTGTCCATGGGATTCTCCAGGCAAGAATACTGGAGTGGGTTGCCATGCCCTCCTCCAGGGGATCTTTCCGACCCAGGGATGGAACCCACGTCTCATGTGTCTCCTGCATTGGCAGGTGGGTTCTTTACCACTAGCGCCACCTAGGAAGCCCTAGAGAACTGGTAGTTAGTGGTGTGAAGGTTGGGGCTTGTGACTGAAGGAGGGCAAAAACAGACAGACCTGTGTAAGACTGGGGGAAAACAGAAAGGATGCTAATAAAAAGGCAGGAAGAAAAATTATGGAAATGCATGGACAGCTTTCTCATAGGGGTTGCCATTATTTCACCTTACTCTTCAGCTAACAGTATTGAGTCGTAAGGGAGGGTACAGTTCAGGAATTACCATCTCTCCGGGCATCCGCCACCACCTTTGCCGCGGACTTGCTCATCACGTGCACGATGTAGAGAGGGCAGTTCACGGCGCTGGCTATGGTGATGGCCCTCAGCGTGGCTTCTGCCTCCACCGCTTCCGGACGGCACAGCTCGTGGCCCTCGGGACCCGTTATCCCCAACGCCAACATCTTCTTTGCTCCCTGAAAAGGCAGCAGGAACGTACATGGGAGAAAGCTTTGCTAATGACAAATCCCATCATTATGTTGTGAAATAAATACACTGCCAGGTTTTTATTTTAGATCTGTTTGGCCTAGGTGGGTGTGAACGTGTGTGTATACAGTGGGCGTTTTTGGTTAAAAAAATAAATAAGTAAAATAAAGTCTACTAACTCTGATTTGTTGATGTTTAGTCACTAAGTCGTGTCTGACTCTTTGTGACCCCATGGACTGTAGCCCACCAGGCTTCTCTGTTCATGGGATTTCCCAGGCAAGAATAATAGAGCGGGTTGCCATTTCCTTTTCCAGGGGATCTGCCCGACCCAGGGATAGAACACACGTCTCCTGCTTGGCAAGTGGGCTCTTTACCGAGCCATCTGGGAACCCTGCTACTCTGATAACATGTTGTTAATTTTTCATATACATATTTCACAATTAAATTATTTTGATTGAAAAGGTGAAGAAGATATGAGGTCTGTTCTAATCACATTCTTTGAAAAGACCCAGGAATCAAACCGGGGTCTCCTGCATTGCAAGTGGATTCTGAACTACCAGTTGAAGCCCCTTTGAAAAGTAGTGTCCATATTTAAGACATTGGTTCAGAACAAACAAAACGAAGAATCCCAGCCCCCCACATTAGATTCTTGTTGAAATGACTCATGCTATTGTGTAGTTAGTTCTAGTCTTTACCGATTCATACTCTTCACTGCCTTCTCCTCTAACCCACAGAATGATATTAGGCTAGTATTTCTTCTCTCCAAAAGTGTTATTTCTTCCTTACAAGAAAGGCAGGAAGTCAAGACAGAGTGTCAAAATGACTTGCCCGGTATCATACAGCTAGGACGTGGAAGAGTCCAGTTTAAATCCCAGTCTGTTTGAGCTTACAGCTCATGCTTTCCTCATATCATCCCCCACCCCCACCTTCTGGCCATGCGGCCACTCTCTCACTGACTTTAATGGGAACTGAGCCCAGGGAGAGAGAAAGATCAACCAGTATAAAGGGTAAGAGGCAGCTCTTTAAATCTTGCAGATGGTATACTCTTTGGGCATTAATGATGGAGCTAACATGAGAAATAAGTATCATCTAGATTCCTTCAGAGCACATTTTAATACCCTATTTCTGAAAAGAGTGGGGCTTAAAACAGCTACCTAATTCTCTGCTTAAGTCATCAGATTATGCTGATGCCCACACTTTGGCATTCTGAACCAGCAGCTTGAGCATACTTTAAATGAAAAAAAAAAGTGCTGGGGACACAAAGAAAAATATCTGTGCTTTTAGAATAAACGTTGTTTGAGATCTAATGGCTCCTCTGAAAAAGGGAACTCCTCATTCCAGTGCATATACCACCTGCAAAAATACTCAGAGCAAGGACAGCAAGTAATTGGAGTCAAGTGTTTCCAAGTCGCAGAAAATTAGTTCCTGAATTTCCTTTCTCCCAGTCCTTTAAATGAATTTACCTACTTGGGGTCAGTCATCTTCACCTTAACTCATGGGCAGTTTCCCTCCCTTCTGTGGAAACTGAACGGTAATTACCGACCTCCGCAATTAGGTCTCCATTTTCGGCATGAACTTGAGCAATGGCTCCGATCTCCTTGCACCGAGAGAAGGCCTCGTATAGCTCCACATCCCTCACCATGTACATATCTTTATAAGCCATAAACATCTTGAAGGAGTTCACACCTTTATCCTGGGTGAGGATTTTCATTTCTTTTTTAACCTAAAAGGGCACCACAATCACAGCAAAATGTCACCCTTTAAAGATAATACCAGCATTCTCCAAAATGCTGCATTCAGAAGAAAATAAAGTGAAACGAGGACATCAGTTGAACTCCGGAAAAATGTAATTAAGGAATCGATCGTTCCCCTAGGTCAGACTTCGTCATCTCATGAACTGCTGTGAAAGAGTTAAATCATGAAGGAGTTAATAGTACTCTCCCTCCCCCAAATACTTCACTTTTACACTTAGATATGCAATTCTCAGTATCTAGAGAAAGAGATACTGAGGTGGGAAGAAATTATTCTAGAACATGAAGAGACAACCGTTTGGCAGCAACAGAAGCAGTTGTGTCTCTAGAAGGAATCAGAGCTAATGTGAAGTAAGGTTTGCGGTCAAATCTGAACCCCACAGGATGAGTTAGAAGACGGAGGTGGTGGAAGATGTGAACTGACCCACTGGCAGCTCCTGGAGGTGAAAGATTCTGAACCAGTGGGAAGCCCCAGGAGCCTTCTGGGTTGCCAGCTCAAAGGTTCTGATCACCAATTCCAATGTGTGAGTGGGGAGGTTGGGGGTTCCTTCACACCGCCAAGCAGGTCTCCAGACATCAGCCAGGAGGCATCTTACAACTCAACTCAATTTTAACGCTACCTGGAGACTGCACCATGCAGTCTTAACCACAGGTTAAGAGTTCAGTCCTATGGGGGTGTCCAGGTTGTCACCTGCACTTCTGCCCAACCAGCTATAAATCAGAGGTTTCCACAGCCCCCTCCTCAGGTTCAATTAATCTGCTGGAGCGGTTCACAGAGCTCAGAGAAACGTTGTACTTACTGGGTCACCGGTTTACCATAAAAGGACATGACAAAGGATACAGACGATCATCAGATGGAAGAAGTACCTCATAGATGAAGGAATGGGGAAAGGGCACAGGGCTTGTGTGTCCTCTGAGAGCACCAGTCTTCCCAAACCTCCACTCGGTCATCATCCTTGAAGCTCTCCAAATCCTATCCTTCTAGGTTTCATGGAGGCTCCATTACACAGGCAAGACTGATGAAAGCATTGGCCACAGGCAACTAACCCAGCCTCCAGCCCCTCTCCCCGACTCAGAGGTCAGTTGGGTGGGACTGAAATTTCATCTAATCACACAGTTGGCTCCTGGGTCAATCAGCCCCTGTCCTTAGGTGGTGTCTAAAAATCACGTCTTTAATTCCTTGTAGCTCAGATGGTAAAGAATCTGCCTGCAATGCGGGAGACCTGGGTTCAATCCCTAAGTTGGGAAGATCCCCTGGAGAAGGGAAAGGCTACCCACTCCAGTATTCTGGCCTGGAGAATTCCAGTAACTATACAGTCCCTGGGGTCGAAAACAGTCAGTCACGACTGAGGGACTTTCACTTCACTTAATATAATGGACCCTTTCATTGCCCTCATCAAGTAGGAAATTCCAAGGGTTTTAGGAGCTCTGTGCCAGAAATGGGGACAAAGACCAGACATGAATTTATTCTTATAAATCATAATATTATACCAATGATAAGAGATAAGATAGGATCAAAACTAGTTTAGTATTGCCTTTGCAGGTCCATTTTTAGTCTCAACAATGACTAATAACTTCAAAGGAAAAGTCAGAAGATTTGACCAAATAAAACTGCTTGAATTTCTACAAGTTGAAAAATACACACATACACATAAAAAACATACACATATAAATATAACATAAAACAAAAATATATAATAAAACATAAAAAATATGTAACAAGGATAGGATTATTGCTTAGTTAATAAAAATGTTAGAGTTATTGCTGCTTCTACTTGATAAGAAAAACCCTAACATTCTAGATGAAAAATGTTATTTACAGCTCAAACAGTAAATTCAAATGACTAATAAACATGGAAAAAATGTTAACCTTCCTACTCATTAAAAAGTGCAAAATAAAGCAAAGCAATCTTTTCCTACTGTATCAGCAAAGTTTTAAAAATGACAATATCACATGTTAAGTTACTAGCTTCCATCACTGTTTACTCTTTTACTAATTTTTCTCACTTTTCTCCATGGCACTTTATCAGCTGGCATATAATATATTTACTTGTTGATGACCTGCCTCCTCCTCTAGAATTTCCACCCCATATGAGGAGGGGCTTTGTACAGTTTGGGCTTCCCAGGTGGCTCCGGGGTAAAGAATCTGTCTTTACCCCAGCAGGAGACACATGAGATGTGGGTTCAATCCCAGGGTGGGGAAGGTCCCCTGGAGAAGGAAATGGCAACCCATTCCAGTGCTCTTGCCTGAAAAATCCCATGGACAGAGGAGCCTGGCAGGCTACAGTCCATGGGGTCGCAAAGAGTCAGACACAACTGAGCATGCATGTAAGCTAAGCTTGTATAGTTTATCTGTTGCTATATCCTAGAACAGTGCCTGGTCCATAGTGGCCACTCAAAAACTTTCTGTTGGATGAATAATGAATGAAAAGGAGCAGAAAACACCAAAATGTTGAGAGTGAACATCACTGACATGATGAAATGAGTTTCAAGATGCATTAAGTGACAACAGCAAGGGTAGAACTTGGTATAATGTGCTTCATTTTTACAAACTTTTTTATAAGTTTGAATTTTCTACTGTGAGTCTATTGTTTTTATAGTGGGGAAAAAAATGCTTTAGACTGTTAGAAAATTCACACAACGGGCTTCCCAATTACAACCCACATTGCTCAAGTGAAATACCTATGACTCCCAGAGTAGAATAGCCTTCTGCAGATGGCCTTGTTAAACATCCCTCTCACCCATATCCGTATCCGTGGGTAAGTCCCACTGTGCAAGTCAGGCATAGGAGTTTAAGCCTTGCTATTCCAAAAGTGTGGGACCTGAACAGAAACAGCAGCAGCACCTGGGAGCTTACTAGAAATGCAGAATCTCAGGCTCTACTGCAGAATCCCAGACCTACTGCTATGGGTTGACTGTGTCCCCCTAAATTCATAGGTTGAGATCCTAACCGCTAGTACCAAATGTGATCTTGGGCATGCATGCTAAGTCACTTCAGACGTGTCCAACTCTTTGAGACCCTATGGACTCCCACCAGGCTCCTCTGTCCATAGGATTCTCCAGGCAAGGATACCAGAGTGGGTTGTCATGCCCTTGTCCTGGAGTCTTCCTGAAGGGCAGGAAGGCACGCCTTTCTTGAAGGGCAACCCATGCCCTTCTTACGTCGCCTATCTTGACAGGCAAGTTCTTTACCACTAGCACTACCTGGGAAGCCCAGCACCACTTTGGACTTGTATAAAAAAAATTAATAAATAGAAGGTGGCTCAGGTGATGAAGAATCCACCTGCAGTGCAGGAGACCTGGGCTCGATCTCTGGGTTGGGAAGATCCCCTGGAGAAGGGAGTGGCTACCCACTCCAGTATTCTGGCCTGGGGAATTCCCTGGACAGAGGAGCCTGGCAGTCCAGGGGGTTGCAAACAGTCGGACACGGCCGAGTGATTTTCACTCACTCAATTAAGTAGAGTCAGGAGACCAGAAGGGGGCGCTCTCATGCCTGCATGTACACGCAGAAGAAAGGGTCCTCCTCTTTCTTGGCAAGGACCAGAACAACGAAAAGTCATGGACTGTTTACTGGAGCCCTCCCAATCTCCTTCTCCCCTCTATGAGAGCCTGCACCTTCCCTTGCCCTGTGGGGACTTGCACGTGGCTCAACATGTTTGTAGACCCTGAACTGCGATTCTTTTGTTGATCTCAAATATGCCCATCTCTGCTGGAGAAATATCAAGCGGTCTCCTTGTTTCAGGTCAACATTTGGAAATAGGGCATTAACCAAAGTAATCAATTAAGATGAGGTCACTAGGGTGGGCCGTAATTCAGTGGGTTGCCATGCCCTTCTCCTGGAGTCTTCCTGAAGGGCAAAAAAGGGATGCCCTTCCTGAATTCAATTTATAAAAAGGGGTGATTAAGCCACACACACACACACACACACACACACACACACACACACACACAGAACATCATGGGAAGACAAAGGCAGAGATTCAGGTGATGTTCCTACAAATCAAAGAATACCAGAGATTGCCAACAAACCAGCAGAAGTTGGTGAGAGACTTGAAAGAGATTATTCCTGACAGCTCTCAGAAGGGATCAACCACACCAACACCTCGATCTTAGGCTGTGAGTCTCCTGAACTGTGAGACAGTAGATTTCTGTTGTTTCAGCCACCCAGAAATTTGTAGGTCTTTGTTAAAGCAGTCCTAGCAAACGAATACACTCACTGAACATAATCTGTACTTTAACAGTATTCACCAGGTGAATTATTTACATATTAAAATGTGAGAAACACTGGTACGCGCAAGCATCTTCAACTTTGCTCTATCTTATAAAACAAGAGTGGGAGGAAAGGAGGAAAGGAGGAAAAGAGAAGGGAAAGAAGGAGGGGCCGGAGAGAAGGAGGAAGGCAGGAAGATCTTAAACGCAAAAAGGAGGTCAGATGCCTCATTTAGAATGCCGTTTCTGGAAAAAAATTAACTTTTTCTCTGGACTCTAAACCTTGCTACTACATTTGCTGAACTATCTGATTACTTGTTTTATATTAACTTAGTGTCTACAACCCAAATTTTGGGAGGAAGTAGGGACAGAAGTTACATGGTGACTTCAAATAAAGTCACTTCTGTGAGCCCTTTCTAGTAAAAAGATTTCTGAATTAAGTCCAATGTGGAAAACATGCTATTGATTTAAATCACAAGTAAAACTTTCTTCCAAAGTACACATACATGTTTTCATGGGAAAAATAAGCATATTTTAACATATCATAAAACTATCTTTTCTATGTGAGTCATGTTATTTATGCCATGGTCTAAATAGTGAGCAGATACAGAAGACTGTGGAAACTCTATTTTGAAATGATCTGACCAGGAGTTGATATTAACAGAGCACCAGCTTATCGCACAGCTCAGAGAAGGCCTTGAAAACATTCCTGGTCTGTCCCTTCCTTGTTTTTTTTTCCAGATATTAAAAATATTTATCTAACTGAAGTCTAATCTGTGGGAAAAGACTCCTTAAAAGTGCCTGGAGATGTTGAAGTTGAAAAGTCCAGTACTTTTAAAAATTGCATTTAAAGTATTTACAATTCATGACTTAAATATTAGGAAAGACTATTGTGAATGAGTATAAGGGATTTATCCTATTATCTTCATATGCTTTTTCTTTTTTTTTTTTTGGTTTTCTCAATTGATAATACTTCACAGGATTCAAAACTCAAATGGTACAAAACAGTATGCAATGAAAAGCCTTCCCTCCAATTGTGAGTTCCAGGAAGCAACCAACATCACCGGTTTCTTACGTTTTGATGTTGCCTGTTCCTTGATCTTTGCACAGAGCAATGACTAAAGAACTAACTAGAAGAAATTGGACCCCTCCATGGTTCACCTGGTCACTCCACCACGTCACCGCCACATGAAGGCTGTAGTCGCAGCAGACTTTGGGATCAGCCCAGCTTCGCCAGGTGTCAAAGGCCTCAATGAGGGAGTGGCCTTTGTGTGGAATAGCAAAATCAATGATCATGGTGGTGCCTCCTGCCAGGGCAGCCTGAAATCACAAAGAGAGTTTCAACAGGTTAGCCATTGGTTTTCTAGTTGAGTCATTTATTTCCTTGAACAGCACGCATTTACAAGCACTTGGGCAAATTTGACAGGTCCAGGAATTTGCACAAAGATGCTGCCTGTGTAAAAGATCTAGAGAGACATGAATAGATGTTCCATAAATTAAAGTCTGAAGCATTAAAAGAGTTAGAATGGCTTCTGCAAAAAGAATGACACGTCTGGTGAAATGAAAATGGCTTTGATCCAAAGAAAACAGAGTGAAGGCTGTAAAGAAAAGCCAAAAGGGAAAAAATGGAGACAATTCAAACATTTTTCTTCTCAAGAGAAGTATATTCATCACTGTAAAATCCACTTCATCAGACTCAGTCTTGGAGAACTGTATCTCTAACGACACTGGGTTCCACACAGACTCTCAGAAGACTCACATGATTCCCAGCTGGTCTTCGTTCAGGCAACTCCTGAATGGATCCTTAATCCTCAGCTGTCTCCTCTAATCCACCTCCAGTGCTCTGGCCTCACTCTTACCCCTCGGCTTGCTCCTCATGCCCCCAGTTTTGCTATTACTTCCTCCAATACAAACCCCTTTATTGCAATTAGAAGGAAATTTCAAAGCACAAGTGAAGTGGCCTCTTGACTCCAAGACATAAAATTGAATGCTTCCCACTGCCCCTGGGATAGCCTTTAACCTTAACATGGTCTACAAGGCCCTGCATGATCTGCCTTGAGACTTCTAGTCTCTTTGGCATATTATATTATGGTACATTAAGACTGGATTAAAAACTATTAAGTTATATCAAATGTCTTTGATTAATTATTGACACTGATTTTATTACAAGATGGTTAAGTATGTTTTTAACTGTTGCATTCAAACAATGGTTGAATACTCACGTATAGTTGTGAGAGCTGGGCCATAAGGAAGGCAGAATGCTAAAGAAGTGATGCCTTCGAACTGTGATGCTGGAAAAGACTCCTGAAAGTCCCTTGGACAGCAAGGAGATCAAACCAGTCAATCTTAAGGGAGATCAACCCTGAATATTCACTGGAAGGACTGATGCTGAAGCTGAAGCTCCAGTATTTTGGTCATCTGATTCAAACAGATGACCCATTGGAAAAGTCCCTGATACTGGGAAAGATCGAGGTCAGAAGAAGAAGAGGGCATCAGAGGATGAGACGGTTGGACAGCATCACCGACGCAATGAACATGAACTTGGGCAAACTCCGGGAAGTGGTGAGGGACAGAGAGGCCTGGCATGCTGCAGTCCATGGGGTTGGAAAGAGTCGGACACAACCGGGTGACTGAACAAGAACCACAATTCAAATGAAGAAAAACAACAGGCAGAGATACACTAGCGCATGGGTTAAGGGCACTGACCGCACAGGCTCACTGGTTCCAGAGCACAGCTCAGCTTCAACATTACACTCCGAGTAACTCCTTCACTCCCTCACCCCTTCCTTCCTTCCTTTTTAAAATTAAATTTATTTATTATTTATTTTTGGCCGCTCTGGGTCTTCATCACTGCAAGCGGGCTTTCTCTAGTTTCAGAGAGCAGCGGCTGCTCCCTAGCTGTGATGCACAGGCTTTCTCCTCTCAGAGCCCAGGCTCTATGGGTGCGTGGGTTTCAGTCGTTGGTGGCTCCTGGGCTTAGCGGCCTCTTAGCACATGGAATCTTCCCAGACCAGGGATCAAACCCATATTCCCTATATTGGCAGGTGGAGTCTTTACCACTGGACCAGCAGGGAAACTCTTTCCTTTGTTAGTTCATTTGTACCTCCCTTCCTTGTATAGTATTGCGCTGTGTATCAGGTCCTCAGAACTTATACATCTTGTAACTGAAGTCTGTGTCTTTTGAACCACAGCTCCCCTTTCCCCCCCGCACCTGCTTCTCAGCCCCTGACAACCACCATTCTACTCTTGGATTCTCTGAGTTTGGTTTTTTTAGATCCCAGATATAAGCGAGTTCATATTATTTCACTCAGCACAACGTCCTCAAGGTCCATCTCTGTTGTCACAAATGGCAGGATTTCCCTCTTTCTAAATGATATTCCATTGTATATACACAGGTTTCCTTTATCCACACATTCATAGATGGACACATAAATTTATTTGTATCTTGACTTGTGAATAATCCTGCAATGAACAGGGGAAAGCAGACAGCAACTTCTCAACCTCCGGGTGCCTCTGATTGCTAACCTGTGAAGTGAGGACAATAATTGTACCTAAACCATAGAGTCGCTGGAAAGACTCAGCTGAGGTGATGTATATAAAGTGCTTAATATGGTGTTTGGTTCATGGTAAGTGCTTCATAAGCTTCAATTCACAATGAGCCTTTGTGAATTAGGCATTTTCCCACTTGTCATATGTCAGCTCATTTTACCACCAGAAACAAAGTTACATGTTGTCATGTTACAACAAAGAAGGGTGCGCCACCAGCTTCTCTCCCAGGCTTGCCCACATGTCACCTTCCCCTACCCCCCACCCCACAGCCTCCCTCCCCAGACATATTGAGCGCTCCCATGTTCCAGCAGGTACACCAGCTATATTCCATCTCTTTTTTCGTACTTACTTCAGTGGATTTTTACTTTTTCTTTAAATCATTTGGTTCCACTCCAACTCTTTTTGCTCTCAAAAATCTCACTATTTATACAGGATTCTGTACTTTTATCTCTATCTTTAGATAACAATTGCCTTATGCATGGTGAAACAATACATATTTGCATTTCTTAAGAAATCCCTATGGGTATAATGAGAGTACCAGAAAAAATTCCTTAGGCTCTGGATTTTTATTTGAATGCAGATTAATCTTCTCACCTTCTTCCTTCTAAAATGTCTTCTCACAAATATCCCTTGAGGATGAAGGGCATTTTTCTAATAGAAAGTGCTGTTAATTAAAGTGTTGAAAGAAAATACCTTTTTCCTGTCTATTGAACTAGAAAATCAAGCTTAAAGAACAATTCTTCCCATATTAAAAGTCTCATCACATGCAGGATGTGGGAAACTAAATACAGTGCTGGTGGGAATATAAATAAAACAATGCAGCCACTTTGGACAATAGTTTGGCAGTTCCTCATAGAGTTATCATGTGACTTAGCAATTCCACTTCTAGGTATATACCCGAGAGAAATGAAAACATGTCCACACAAAAACTTGTACACAGATAATCAGAGCGGCATTATTCATAATAATCAAAAAGTGGAAACAACTCAAATGCCCATCTACTACTGAATGAATAAACAAAAGGTGGTGTGTTCATACAATGAAATATTATTTGGCCATAAAAAGGAATGAGATTCTGATACATCTGCTACAACTTGGATGAACCTTGAAAACATGATGCTAAGTGAAAGAAGCCAGTCACAAAAGGTTACATATCCTATGACTCCATTTACATGAAACATCCAAAAGGGATAAATCACACATTAGGAAGACTAGTGGTTTCTTGGGGTTAAGGGGGTTGGGGAAAGTTGGGATGAGAGCTAAAGGGTACTGGGCTTCTTTTGAGGGAGATAAAAGTGTTCTAAAAATGTGGTGATGTTTGCATAGTTCTGTGAATGTACTAAAAAACATTAAACTGCACACCCAAATGAATAAATATTATTATATATGAATTACATCTTAATAAAATTATTACCCCCCAAAAGTCTACCCCGTATAAGCTATTACATGGAATGAAAGGGGTGGTTACACACAAGGCAGTGAAAAATCTTCCCTCCAATTCTGACTTCCACGAGGCAACACACAGCACCAGTTTCTTGTGTTTAGACATTGTCCATTCCTTGATCTTACACAGTGCAAGGACTAAGCAACTAAACAGAAGAAACTAGACCCCTAGTGGTTCACCTGGCCATTCGACCATGTGATACACAAATGATCAGACACACGAATAGTCAAACAGTCTAGAGGGGGAGACAGAAATACGAACACACAATTATAAAATAATCAGATGGTGATAACAGGTAGCAAGTACACTTCCATGGTAAGCACAGGATAGGGATTATGAAAAGGAAGTTAACATTGCTAAACTCCTAGAAGAGATGGGCTTCCCAGGTGGTGTTAAGTGGTAAAGAACCCACCTGCCAATGTAAGAGACATAAGAGATGCGGGTTCAATCCCTGGCTTGGGAAGATTTCCCTGGAGGAGTGCATGGCAACCCACTACAGTAGTCTTGCCTGGAGAATCCTATCGACAGAGGAGTCTGGTGGGCTACAGTCCATGGGGTCGCAGAGAGTCAGACACAACTGAAATGACTTAGCATGCATGCTAGAAGAGGCAGAGGGAAAAGACTGCTGGAAAATTCAGAGGGAAACAGATCAGAGGAGGCTGGGATTTGAATTAGTATCAGGACATACACTCGAAGCTGCCACTAATGATAGTAAAATCTAACTGGTAGAGAGCACCTATTATGTTCCAGGAACTATTCTGATGTTCTAAGAGTTTAAACCACCTCAGCAGCTCTGCAGCAGGTCATATCACTAACCCCGTTTTAGAGTTGAGGAAACCGAGAAAAGCACCATGAAATAACTCCCTAGTTCTCACAGCTAGAGAATGACAAAGGCTAGACTGGACCCAGGTCATTGGGTTCCAGAGCCTGTGCTCTCGGGAACAGCCAGGAGCAGGCAGAAGTGCTGAGAAAAGGGTCCGCGAGGAAGAATCAGCAGAAAAGTGGTAAAGGGCAGAATGTCTCTGCACAACAGAAACCGACTCACAGAGAACAGAAACTCGTGGTTATCTAAGGAGAGCAGGAATCGGGGAGGGACAGTTAGGATTGAGAGATACAAATGACTGTGTGTAATAAATAGAGCAGCAACAAGGATATACTGCACAGTACGGAAAATTATAGCCATTATCTTGTAATAACCTATAATGGAGTATAATCTGCAAAAGCATTGACTCACTATGCTGTCCACCTGTAACTGACATAATATTGTAAATCAACTAACTGTACTTCAAAAACAGGAGGAGGTGGGAGGGAGGTTCCAGGGGGAAGG